CTTGATTTTTGAATAGATGCGTCTTCTTTTGCCCGTAGTATGTATTCTGGATTTTTAATAGGCATATGTCTATTGTGGCGGCTGTCCAATATTTCCGGAAGCATGCATTCTTCGTAGAAACGCGTTAGGAAAGGTTCCATATGATTTGTCCAAAACGCGTCATCCCTATTTACGCGGATGATATGTATCCTTTTAGGTGTCCAGATAGCGAAAATACAGTACTTCCGTTCCGTTATATGTAACTGACCTTGTACTTGGTAGAAATACTGGTGCTTGCTATTCATTTCTTGTATATCTCTCTTATCGAAGATGTTTCGTAAGTGACGTATTGTTTCTATTGCGTCTATCGCTGTCAAATTCTCAGCAGATAGTGGGCATTTCAGTTCCAGTAAACCGTCATCGTCGATAAGTCCATCAGGAGAGGCACCCAAGTATGGAAGTTCGAATCCTTGTTTTCATTACGTTCGCTACGTCTTTTCTTGCAATGTGTTCTTTATCGCGGCCATATTTCATAGCAGCAGTATTGACAGATGGAGGATATAAAATGTTTTTTACCATTGTTGCGCAGGACGTTGTTTGTCCCATGCGACACACTGCTCCAAAATTCGAAGCAGTTAGCATTTCCTCCTTTAAAGCTCTCCATAAATCTGAATCGGTTTGCTTTCTTGTGTTCGTTTCTATTATTGTACGATTTTTTGCATTGTCAGCAAGCTTTTTATAATGTTCCTTGCGAAGTTGAAGCAGCATATCACTCGGAAAATCTGGTCTTTGCGAGTTTGGACCATAATATTTATCCGTTCCTTGCATTGGCTTAAATTTCCTTCTCTTGCCGTAGGTCATTTGAAATTCTTTCGTTTTCGCAACTTTTTTCTGTCGCCGTTCCTCCAATCTCTTTACTAGTGTTGGAACGGTTTTACACATGTTCTTATGCATTTCTGTAAGTACTTGTTGCGTATTGTATTGCGTAACAGCTCCTGCAACTCTAGCATTGTAGGAACCTCTTGCACCAAAATTAATATGATCAATCAAATCAAATGTTTCTGCGGGATTGTTTGTAACCTTCATTAACAAACTATCCGAATAGCAGCTGAAGAATCGTATGACTTTCTCGACTTCGCTGTACAGACCGTATAATTTCAAAAATGGAACGTAATTTTTCTCAGCTCTGTTTTCGTCCCGCATACACATATGGCTGCGGCTATTGCACTCCTTGTGCTCACCAAATATATGGCTAGGAACACTTAAAATGTCCTTCTGAAGTTCTCTAGCTTTGATATGCTGAGGCCCTTTTTCTTGTTTTCGCGCATTGACTGTTAAAACGACAGCTCTACGAATATTTAAAATATTTTTTTTAACGATATTTCGGTGCGCAACAAAGCTACGATCTCTGTGACCGTTGCGTTTTCTCCGCAACGTGTCTCAACTTTTTACATAAATTACGAAGTAAGTGATTGGTACACTCAATTTTTTTAACGGTTACTTTTTGCTCTCGGTAAGGTCTGTTATTCACAATAGTATGATAGACGTTGCTATCACCATCGGCAACAACCGTTCTATATATCAAGCCATGCATTTCAATGTCGCATTTGAAACCTTCAGCAATAGCATCACTTTCCATGCTACTAGAACTGGCATAACGATCATAGTTTTTATAACATTTATGATGTTTTGAGGATGTAGCTTTTCGTTCCGCTATATCACATATTGTGCAGTATTTATTGCGTATGCCGATAAACAGAACTTTTCCTGTGCGGAAACCTACAATGGCACCAACACCGGAAAGTGAATTATAATTCGTACCATACGATCTCTTCATCCAGCTACCATCCGCTATCACAGTTATGTATGGGATACCGTCGACGACTTCATTGTTTTCAAAAGGTAATCGTCTTTCTTCTCCCCCTGCTGTATGCATGGTATGCATTGCGCTTTTCATAAATTCATCTACAAGTTTTTCACGGTACCTCAGGTAACGTCGTTTCAGCCATGCAGGGCATATTCAAGGCGGCGCATAATTCTTCTAGTTGTGCATAGCCGATTCCGACTGCAACAGTCGCGGTCGTCATGGCCTCATTTACATTCATTATATTTGAATGCAAACTGTGTGACACCCATGCTGGCGACTACCGATCATTTTCCAATCGCGAAAATGACATTCAATACCTCACGCATGATTGTCGAACGTTCTGTGTATTTCATTCCAAAAGAACTGAACGTCAACAATGCGGCGGCCTTCTGGCACATTTTCCGAAATACGTTCCACATCTACGTGTCCGACGTCTACGACGAGATTGTTGTCGCTATTCTCCAGGATGTTTTGTACAGTGGATCTCTCACTTGTACATTCGGATTGTACGACAGTTTCATTGTTTTTGCGAAGGGTGTTTTCTGATGAGATGCGTCCCACATCTTTATTTTCGCGATGGGCGTTTTCTGATGAGATGCACCCCGCATCTTTAGGATCGTTTGAGATAAATGAAGGATCATTATTATGATATTTACAAACTAGTAGGGGGTCTGACATATCTATCTGACCAACCTCCTTCACATTTTTCGATACACAACGTTTTCCCGGGAGAGAATTTCTCTCTTTGAAAACTGCAGTAGGTTCAATCGTCGATACCGACGATTGCCATTGTTTCTGTCGTCTACAAAGTAGAATGGATGAGGTTAGAAATATTTGTAAATATTTGCACACAAATTACTGAAATGTATTTTGTAAGCGCTTACAGTTTTCTATAAGTTCTTTTGAGGGGGAGCCTTTTCCTACCCGGAAACGTCTAATTTGTACGTTTTTTATTTGCCATTTGTGCTTATTTTTTGCACAAATATTGATGCAAATTCAATTTTTCAATACGTCTTCTACGTCTAAGAAAGAAGTAGTAGATGGCAACGCGGGCCTTTCCCCCACCACGCTACGCAAATGAAACAAAAACGAAACGCCAACGCTGTGGTGGTTTCCAATTTCCCTGGCAGCGGCAGTTCGAAACATGTTACGAAGTAGTGATCATCGAAGCAAAAAAATGAATTCGCAAAGCCGCAGTAAGTGTTTCTTTTCATCTTTACTTCCCGAGTGTCATTGACAATTACATTCCGTGAACATTTGTAATAAAAATATTTGTTTCGAAATTTGCTTTGTCTCATATACAGTGAGTCACAAAATTGAACCAAATGATGTGAGGTTTCTCGAGAAGCCATACAAATTAATTTACTAAGATATATGCTTTTGTGGTTTTACAAAATGACAATTTGTTGAAACCGTGAGAAAAAATAGTGAAGGGTAATTTTTCAACTTTTTTATGTGAGCGTATAATTAAAATTTTAAATATGCCTTTCGTAGATTGAAATGCGTTATGTGTATGCTGAGAATTTCATCGAGATCGGTTAATGCACTTAGAAGTTACAAGTAATTAAAATTACTTGGACAGAATTGTATTGAATAATTTACAAGCTAACAATAATAATAGAATAATAAACAATAGAATAAATAAACAATAATAATAGAATAAACAACATAGAATCGACCCCTCGGCTGCATATACACGATGTGTACGGACGCAGAATCGACACCTTATTAGTATCTTCGGCTTCCTATTAGTTTCCGAGATATTAATTAAAAACTTTCGTACAGTACATAGAATTTTTCCTATACAGACGCAACTAATATTACCGTCTTCGCTGTAGCAACCGTCATCGTCAAGTGTCGAACAGCCGTTCACACCATAGCGATATCGGCTTCCGTTTCTATAGGGTGTTCCATGTAAAATCTATTTTTTTAGTTACATTACGTTATGTTTTATATTTTATTACTAATTCTCAAGGAATTAAACACATTTGATTTATACGTAGGTTAGATTAGGCTAGATAAATTTCCGGCTGCCCGGAAGGCGGCCGGCAACGCTACAATACTCGTCGTATCTCCAAAGCTTTGAATAGGTCACCTTATAGATAGTCAGGTTGGAACCCCCGCTGTGTCAACGGCTGTTCGACACTTGACGATGTCAGCTTACTACAACGAAGACGGTTGTGTTAGTTACGTCTGTATAGGAAAAATTCTATGTATTGTATGAAAGTTTTTAAATAATATTTCGGAAACTAATAGGAAGCCAAAGATACCTTTTTATATTTGGGGTCCCCTCCTCCCTCCCCCCTCCCCCTCAATATTTCATCTTGATCGGCGACCGGTCGTATTTGGAACTTCATCCGAAGAGTGGGCTGAAGAACGATAAAAAACACTTTATTCTTTATTTTATTTTATTTATTTCTGATTATACATATAATACTTCTGCTATATTTTATTATGTTGGCGCAGCGTTTGTTTTCTGGTGTGTGTAGATAAATGAAAGCACTCAGTATCAAGATTAATAATAACATATTTAGGTACGATTCTTATCTAGTAGTGATTAATATTAGTTAAACAAAAGATTCTCTTCTAAGCTTATGTTGTATCAGTCAAAGGAATACTCTCTCTTAGATCGTTCGCTACGTAATGAAAGACAAACGACGCATGGGCACAGTATAGGAAAGAACAGTAGGATCACTCTGCCAAAAAGCGTACCAATAATTGTCGCTCGCGCATGACCGAATCGCACAACCAACAATATGGCGGCTGTGAATATATATGATAATAGTTTCTTGCATTTTAACCTCTGTTACTTCTAAAACATTCCTGTTGCGATAAAATTCAGTAAATTTTATACAGAGATATAAAATATGAGTGAAAGAGGTGGATACCGTTGTTCCTTCAAAGGGTGCCAAAGTGCAAGCAGTGACAACAGTAACAGGCGTTCTGGGACACCCTATATTTTATATCTGTCAAATGATATTTATCCAACGTTCCTTGTACATTTTAGATATAGATATTATTATTATTATCATCATTGTTTTATCAAAATATTACCACTTTATGGGTTGTTTATTAATTTCTAAGATATGCTGTATACATTATACATTTGTATATAATTTATTAGGACTTTATTAATTGAATAATTGTTGTATATAATAATTGTACTGTACAGAGATTTCAATAAAATGTGTATTTTAATTAAATGTAGATATTTAATAGTCTTTTTATGGTATTCTATTACGAAATCTCTTTTTGATTGTACCGAATGCTTTTCAAATTAGAGCCCGCGCATAACTAGCAATATGGCGATCTATTGGTCATGAGATCAAAGGTGCCGACACGGAGTGAGCCTACTGTTCTTTCCTATACTGTGGCATGGGCCTCGTCAGTCACCGTTAGGCCGTGTTTCCACTTGCGAGAAAACTTCTGCAATAAGTGTCTGACAGACTGTCAGACAGCAACTAGCCAATGTAAACAGTACTGCAAGTGAGATCGCGACAGTTCCCATGCGCTCGCAGCAATTTGTCGCGAGAGCCGATTACTTGCAGGTCTAAACACGTTCACATCGACTCGCCGCAACTTCTCGCACAATAGGACTAGTTCCGAATATCTCGCGCTCGCAATGACACTTTTCGGTTTTGTCCACGAGTAATTTTACATTTCTTTCTGTTACTGTGTAATATAAGAGCTGAAATAAGTTACTAATGACTCTTGTGAGGTTGATGCAACTTTAATATGAGAGGAAGAGAACTCGAAGAAGTCTTGCAGAAGATACTTGCAATGCCGTTTGCACTAGCAAGCAACTTCCCGCAATAAGTATCGCCAGAAATGTGTCGCGCGGGAGACTGTCAGAGAATACTGTCGCAACTTCTTGCAGGACTGTATAGACAGGGTAGTTTGACCTGTTCCGAGATTTCTCGCCAGTTTAGTTTCAAACACTATGCCGCGCAGACGTGAACGTGTAGCAGCAGCAATAATGCTATTATTAAATAAAAAGAAAAAAAGATCCGTTTGGGTCCGACAATGGATTTCGAGACGACCTGAATTCGGTTGCTTCCATAATTTGTTAAGAGAACTTCAAATAGAAGACGGACAACAATATTTTAATTTTATTCGTATGACTGCTGTGGATGTGGAAATTTTAATGCAAAAAGTGGGTCACATAATTAAAAAAGAAGACACCCGGATGCGAGATTCAATATCTCCGAAGGAAAGGCTCATCTTAACGTTAAGATTTTTAGCATCCGGTAAGTACATATTTAATTGTATTTATTTCTCTACTCAACTGACATACACACGTTCAAGAACTCTCGTTTCGCGTACTTACTTATCAGTCAATATACATAATTATTTTTTTTAGGAGAATCATATCATTCATTGATGCACCATATCTAAAATTATTCCGGAAGTATGCAAAGCTTTGTACGATACACTACATGAGGAATATTTAAAGGTAAGGAAAGAGAAGGTTTTTATTTAAGTAAAAATGAACATGTTTTAAAAAAGTCACTATAAAAAATGTTTATTCTAACTGGTACAAGATAGTCGTGTCTAAAGTTTGTGGTGACGAATCGGAGGAGAATAATATTGTTGAAGATGTAGAGGCATCCTCTTCATCTTGTATATCTACAATTGCTCGCTGAACAATTTTTCGTAGTTTTTTTTTACTTTCTGTATTAGTAAAATTCCTCAGCACTGAGGCAACATAATCGCCGAATATTTGGTCGTCGTCGTTCGACTCGGAAAGAATTTTGGTGCACCTACGCAAAATATCATCGCCTTTCCTTTTTTTTGCTGCACGATGTGGCCTCAACACTTCATTTTGCGGAATTTCTCCTGAAACTTCATGTTCGGCTGTTGGAAGCGTTGAAGAATTTTCCTGTAACAGTAATAATCTTTATTTTAGGTCCCATCTACTCAATCGGAATGGATGCATATTGCGAAAATGTATGAAGAAAAATGGAATTTTCCTCATTGCCTTGGTTCACTAGACGGGAAACATTGTTTTTAAGACACCGGCTAATAGTGGGAGTTATTACTTCAATTATAAAGGATCCCATAGCATCGTGCTAATGATAGTGGCAGACCCATCTTACAAAATTACGTATATGAATGTTGGATGCAATGGCAGAATTTCTGATGGAGGTGTTTTTTTACAAAGCTCACTATTCCCAGCTTTAGAAAATAACACTTTAGACCTTCCACCATATTCACCTTTACCGGGGAGGTCCATGCCAGTTCCATACGTGTTCACAGCTGCGTCTGTGAAGTTAGCACCTCATTTTCAAAAACAAAACTTTTAGCAACTGTTCTATTTGCACCCGCAATAGTTCTACAGTTCCTGATAGGTTTCAGAAATAGTTCCGGCGAAAAACCTAAAAAAATAACATTTTGAAAATATGAGGTGCCAACTTCGCGTGGCACCGCATCATGAGAAAAATGTTACTTAAATCATCGTATTTTATAGTTTTCAAATAGTTCTACAGTTCCTGATAAGTTTTAGCAATAGTTCCGACAGCGAAATATTAAAAAAACAATGTCTAATCTCGCAACTGGCACCTCAAATTTCCATTAAAATGGCCAGAACTTTTTTGTTTTTGATTTTACGTCTTCGGGCCATAATATCTTCCGATAGTACTCTCCGGGGTGCAAATGGAACTCTCATCAGAACTTTGGATTTTTCAAAAAATTTCATTTTTGGACTGGGGAACTAGAAAGTTAAAGTGACTAGAACTTTTTTGTTTTTATAGGTGATCCGTATTTTTCAGAGCGTGGGACCACGTTGATTTCAAGGAAGGAATTTGTTATATTAATTTGAGTTGGCTCCAAAAGATAGACTATCTTAAAGACATCGAAGACCGTTTCTGCGTTCGACTAGAGTATTTCCTGAATGCATATGCATATCGAAACACATTCGGCCGATATAGGAAAAAAAAGGAAATTTTGAATGAAAAAACCCTTAAAGGGTAACTTTGGCATTGTTGAAGATTTTTCAAATCTCCTTGTTGGTGCTGTTTTCTAATCGGAAGTTATTATGGCCCGAAGATGTAAAATCAAAAACAAAAAAGTTCTGGCCACTTTAACTTTCTAGTACCCAAGTCCAAAAATGAAATTTTTTGAAAAATCCAAAGTTCTGATGAGAGTTCCATTTGCACCCCGGAGAGTACTATCGGAAGTTATTATGGCCCGAAGACGTAAAATCAAAAACAAAAAAGTTCTGGCCACTTTAACTTTCTAATTCCCAAGTCCAAAAATGAAATTTTTTGAAAAATCCAAAGTTCTGATGAGAGTTCCATTTGCACCCCGGAGAGTACTATCGGAAGATATTATGGCCCGAAGACGTAAAATCAAAAACAAAAAAGTTCGGGCCATTTTAATGGAAATTTGAGGTACCAGTTGCGAGATTAGACATTGTTTTTTTAATATTTCGCTGTCGGAACTATTTCTAAAACCTATCAGGAACTGTAGAACTATTTGAAAACTATAAAATACGATGATTTAAGTAACATTTTTCTCATGATGCGGTGCCACGCGAAGTTGGCACCTCATATTTTCAAAATGTTATTTTTTTAGGTTTTTCGCCGGAACTATTTCTGAAACCTATCAGGAACTGTAGAACTATTGCGGGTGCAAATAGAACTGTTGCTAAAAGTTTTGTTTTTTGAAAATGAGGTGCTAACTTCACAGACGCTTCATAGCTGACGATGCATTTGCTATAAAACCTTACTTAATGAAGCCATTTCCTTTTAAAAATCAATTTGCACCTAACAGGGTTTACAATTACCGTTTATCAAGAGCAAGACGAATGGTGGAAAGTGTGTTTGGGTACTTGCTAGCAGGTTTCGTTGTATTTAGGAAGCCGATGGAATTGAATCCAGAAAAAACAAAGTTGATTACGATGGCTGCTTGTTCATTGCACAATTTTATATTATGTACAAATGACGTCACACAGATGTGATATATTGAAGGGGGTTCGAATATAAACGAATTCACAGAATCTCATTAATTTACAAAGAGGCCAAAATAACAGACCAGGAACAGAAGCGATGAGAATTCGTGAGGAATTTAAGGAGTATTTTGTTTCGCCACAAGGCGAAGTACAATGGCAGTACCAACACATGTAGAATATTTAAATTATAAAAATATGTAACTATATGTAATAATATAGAAAAATATATCAAAAAAATTAATTTCATACATTTTTTTTATTCAACGAAATATAAATATCTATAGGTACTTACCAATGCGTCAAAAGTCGAAGCGTTGCCTACGTCTAAAAATTTTAGTGCGTCAAAGCACCACCAATTTGATTTATAGACTTCCTCCGCTCCACTACCACTCTTTTTAATTTTTAATTTTTAATTTTTTTGTTTCACTATGCCATTGGCTTCTTAAATTATGTAACTTCCGATTTATTTCATCGACAGTTGCCGATAATTCCCCGACAATTGTCGCACATATTTCACTTTGTAATATTCCGTTTTTATAATTACTATTTCTGCAATCCCATAAGCATGGGTTGCACTCGTAAAATCCAATCAGTTTCATAACATCCTCACGGGACCAATCAAGTGATTTTGATATGCTCATTTTCTGATTTAATTTTCACGCGCAATGAGCAAACTGTTTGAATGTGTTTTAAAATCTAACGAAATGTGGTCTGTAAATTTGCTTATAAGGTAAACTTGTTTCGGAGGTGGGGATTTTTCTAACAGCGATTCTGATTGGATTTTCTTGGAAAAAGGGGGCTGATTTTCAATCAGCTTGAGGACTCCGCGTGGAGTAACGCAGGTAGCCGACGCTGACGGTAACAAAGTAATTAGGACTTCCCCAAATTTGCTGCACGACGAGTAATTTCCTAAGTCGTTTTCGAATAATAGGTAATAAAACGCGTGTTCGTTCTAACACCCGTAAAACAGAATATTTCTTTACAAGGAGTCCGTGTTGCCCGTATTGGCATTGTCGACTAGCAGCATTTATTTCCTAGATGTACTAGTCGGCTAAGTTCGACCAGGAATACGTTCGACTAATAAAATACATTGTTAAATACATCTTTTGTTGCCCCAGCGACAAATGAATTTGCCTAAAGAACAATTTCTGTGCGTCCCTTGCTTTTATGGTTCATGGCACAGATAGAAACGCGATGTTTAATTAAATTGTACTTTCGGCTCTTTTGTTATCTGACTGTGCGATCTATGTGGGTATGTATTGTTCAATTTTGCGCCGCCTTTGAAAAGGTTGGAATGTATTTAGTGCACTATTTCTCGAGTAAATAGTTTTTATTAATAGCTATTGGGTATTTGTGTAAAGGAAATAGAAATTATTCCATTAGAAATTATTTCATACTTTTTAGTGCATTTCGAAGTCGGTTATATTCTTTTTCAAAAATTATTTTATTTTTAAAGTTGCATCAACCTTATAAGGGTCATTAGTAACTTATTTCAGCTCTATTATTACACAGTAACGGAAAGAAATGTAAAATTAGTCATGGACAAAACAGAAAAGTGTCATTGCGAGCGCGAGATATTCGGAACTAGTCCTATTGTGCGAGAAGTTGCGGCGAGCTGTTTGGACCTGCAAGTAATCGGCTGTCGCAACAAATTGCTGCGAGCGCATGGGAACTGTCGCGATCTCACTTGCAGTAATGTTTACATTGGCTAGTTACTGTCTGACAGTCTGTCAGGTATATGTCTATATATGTATACTGATTTTTCGGTCGACGACTGCATGCTGACCCATACACCGCCAGAGATACGTAGGCATATATAGAATTCAATGTAGTAGTAACAATAGTTTTTCACAAATATCTCGGAAACTAAAGCTTTCCGTTAATTATGCATAAGGAAAAAGTTGCTTGCTAGTGTAAACGGCGTTGCAAGTATCTTCTGCAAGACTTCCTAGAGTTCTCTCGCAAGTGGAAACACGGCCTTAGCCCGGCAGAGGGCGGGGAGAAAGTAGAAGAAGGTACAGTAAAAGCTGGATATATGCAACAAACATTGGGACCCAGACGTTGCATATATCCAGTCGAGGTGTCTAATCTCGGATTACACGCGACGAGCAGCCAAGCGTGAACGTAGAAAAGGACAGACAGTGGTGGAAAGAGAGAGGTCCGATGATCAAAGGAAAGAGCCGAAACGTATCGGTGTGACTAATACTAATTCAACTATAAAACTTTTTCATTTTTGACTTTTTTTTACTGAAACTTTTATTAACGCATTGGTGAAATTTTTCGGATTAAAATGATACCAAACACGATATAGTTTGAATTATAATTACTTGCTAAAATTGATGTTAAAAGTTGGCGAAAAGCAAAGGAGGATTGGAAATGAAAACCGGTTGCGGTGTCGGCTCGGGTTTCAAACGTTGCATATATCCAGCCGAGGTGTCGATTCTGGGCATTTAAACGTTGCATATATCCAGCCGAGGTGTCGATTCTGGGCATTTGAACGTTGCATTTATCCAGTCTTGGTGTTGATTCTGCGTCCGTACAAATCGTTTGTACCGTGCCGCGATACCTATTCTACGTTCGTACACAACATGCGACGTGTTGCATGTTGCATGTTGCGTGTTTGATGTATCTTTGGTGTACGGCCTGCCTTATATATATGTACAGTTTTATTATTATTTTAATAAATAA